CACACACACAGCAGGCAAGTGAAGTATAAATATATACAGTATAAGGAAGCGTGTTTGCATCTGTCGATTATACAAGATTTCCCTGAGAGTAAGGATTATTTAACTAGCAAAGCAGCTCAAATTAAGCCCAGTGGCCATCAAATGCCACAGTGCGTGACAGCAAGTGACTAGTGCAAGCCTGACCAAGGCCAGCTACTGGCTGACGAGGAAAAATCGTAACCCAGCAAGTGTAAACAGACCAATCGAAATAAACAGTGGACACTGCTAACAGCGAACGTTTGTCTAAATGTCTTTAAATTTATTGTTGTATATGGTGAATTTGCTACAAATTGGTGATTTATTGTCAGTATGCAACTACTCTGGGAGGATTTGACCGTGCTGAAAGTACTGGTAAGCTGTTAGCAAGCGAAGGCATAGCACCTCATCCTATTTAAAACATCACAAATCTCAACTGCTTGATTGTTTATATCATTGCAGAATGTAAATTATATTATCATCCAGCTCTAATCTGCTAAATGTAAAAGCAATAAGATATTAGGATATTATTATTAACATTAACATAATAATTCATAATCTTGCCCCTTTCTAGAGTAAATTGTAGTGATAAAAAAAGGAAGAACTGAGTGCCATTTTACAAAAATGGCTTATTGTCAGCGCTGTTATTGTTTTAACTAAAAACTATTAAAAGTCGTTTTCATTAATTGAAATAAAGCTGAAATGAAATAAAAATATTAGAAGAAAAACATGACTGAAATTAGAAACATTGATTTGGCAACTAACTACATAGGTTTAGGTTAAAGTAATACAATTATTAAAACTAAAATGTAAATAAAAATAAAGCTAAATAGAAATAATTAAAATAAAAATTTTGAAAAGCACATCAAATCAGTAAAAGTTAAACTAAAATGAAAATGAAAACTAAAAATAAAAGCTAATTTAAAATGAATACTATAATAACATATGATTATTGCTAAATTAACAAAGCTTATGTTTAGATACATTTTGGATAACAAGCAATAAATCTATCCTTTTCTGATTTATGGAGGAAGATTATAATCTAGCTAACATATCACATTTTAGACTTCTCAGACCTTTTGGCCTGCAGGCTAACTATTCCAGTAGATGCCCAAATTATCCTGGCAAACCAAGTAACTCACATTTGAAGACAAACCCTAAAGAAAATTGAATAATTTGAAAGAAATAGCTAAATTTCTCAACATTTCACCAACCTGAGAGTCTCTGCCATGCGTCTCAGGTCTTCATTCTGCTGTTTCAGCCTTTCCAGCTTGGCCAGGATCTTGGAGAGCTCTCTGCTGGACCGTTCCGGATGCTCGCTTTCCCTCACGAGGTGACCCCCGATGTAGAAAAGCAGCGTGCCCCAGGCCAGCAGCACCAGCATAATCCAGCGCCACGAGCCCGTCCACGGACGCATGGCGCCTAGTGCTGCCCAGCACACACTCTCCTTTCACAACACGGGAGTTTGAGACATACTCAGCTCAGCGGCAGCGCACCACATCAGGGCTCCTCTAGAGTGGAAGGGGGGCGTCAGGGGTCGCTGGGTCTCGCTTGCATGTGCACTTAGAGACTTGGAGGTTATATCATGGCAGCGGCCCCTCGCAGAGAAGGGGTGGAGGGTTTTGAGATCCCTTGAGACTTTGCTTATGAGACTACACTTCAGGGAACCAATGGCTCTGATGAGTTCTTATTCCTCTAGGGACTCTGCAAGGGATTCTGGTCCTGTAAAAACACAGAAGCGTGTTTGATCAGTGAGATGATAGGACATGCTTGCGCTAACTGTGAGAGATAAAGGCATAAGTGAGGTCTGAGATTATCTATCTGCTCTGCCTTTTCCTCCACAGAATATAAAACTGGATTGAGTTTAGCTGCTGACAACGCTCCAGTCATACAGCTGTTACTGAGGATTATAGTGAGCGGTGAAAGTTAGTTGCCCAGTCAGCACAAAGTAAAAGTGCAAATAATGAGTTCCTTTAAATTAATCAGTTACAAAAATGTGCAGGGAAGGACAAGAAAGGAAATAACAAGAATGATATGAAAGAAGAGAGACCCCAGATCTAAAGAAAATAATACTATTCTTTGTAACACTTTTGAATGTTTTCTATTTATTATGCCATCTTAAGTGAAGTTCCAAATCATACATGAATATAGAAGGGCAATAACAATGACACAGGGAACAACTGTACATTAATGTATCACTTTACAGGAAGTAGAGAAGACAATTTCCCCTCGAGTCATTGCACATCACCATTGCAAACCAAAACATTTTTGACTTGTTACAATGGCATGTGTTAAAGTGTAATTGTATGTACATAAATATAATAAAATATACAATAAACATACATGTATATACTGTATGTAGCACAATGCAAAAGGCTTGTTGGCTTTTTTCATTATCACATAAAAAAAAATCTAAATCAAAATGTTGAGGTATGACAACTTAAATTTATTAATAAAATAATATATTATGTATATAAATACACAAGTATGTATGTTTACATTTATATTATGTTTGTATTTATGAACATTATGGATTACATCAAGTCATACAAAAACCATGACTCAAAGTGTTGTCTGTGTTCGATGACGTCTCCGATTTTATAGAGCTTGCCTGTAGCTCAAAGAGTAGAGAGAGAGAGAGAAAAGTAAATGTGTACCTTGAATGCAAAGTAAGACGCTTTGGATTAAAGCTTTCAAATGCATAAATGTGAACTTCCAAAGAAATCTCCTGCAATGAATGACATGTAAACTGGAAGTAATATCTATCACAATTTTTCCTGACTGCCAAGATAAAATACTTTTTTTGTGTGTGCATGCAAAATGAAAAGTATGTAATGAGGTCATGTGACAATGTTGCATGTTACTGTCTGCATAATGCATTCAGATTCACATCATTTACAAAAATAGCAAGCAATATGTAAGTATACACAGCACTGTATGAGGAAACAATGGTATTCTATGTACATGGACCACACTTGCCATGCATTAGGGTATGTTCGTTTTTGTGCGCATCCAGCAAAAACTCTCATCGCATTCAGTTCAAACTGGTCAAATATAATACACACACACACACACACACAACTTGCCAATGTTTGTACTTTCATTTATTGACTTAAATGAGAAATAAAGGCAAATTGCACTTGTATCACAATCTCAAGTTAATACACACTGCACACCCACGAGCGGCCACGGTCGTATCTTAAAAGTGAACCATTTACAGAGCTGAAATAATGTGCCACTCACTGTGCATGTAAAACGAGGCTGACAGATGGGGACTATCTGACAGATTGGGGAAAGTAGGCACCGCTTATCCTTCATTATGAATGAGGGTGGAATATAGAGAGTCATTATGGATTTCTGCACAGAGCATATACAATGCATTATAGATTGCGGTGGTGTGTCAAGCCCGGTAATCAAAGGCCGCAGTGCGGGACTGAATCAATAGAGTGACCTTCTGCTAGTGTCTCAGTACAGCAGACCGCCAGCTATTTATGCACATCACTACTGCAGTCAACGGGGTGCGCACACGGGGCACTACTACACAGAAACATAGGATTTACTCACACTCCTGCTGGCTTACACTGAAATCAGCTATCTCATTAAAGATCTTCCTTGCACTATTATAATCTTCAAAAACTGCTCATTAACATATTACACATCAATTGTGTTTAAAGTAATTCAAAAAAAAAAGAAAAAAAATTGCAAAAAAACAACAACACTTTTTATCCCATGTATTCAAGAATAAAGATTAAAAATATATAATTATAAACTTTATGCTCACTGTGACGAGAGGGGCGGGGCTGACAGCCGTGGGAACGGAGCGAGGCCGGTGGAATAAATGCTAATGCACGACACCTGCGCCACTCACCGGTCTCGAGTCCAACACTGTCGTCACTCCTCCTTTTATCCTTCCGGAGCTCCTCCATGGGACTCGAGACCGGTGAGTGGCGCAGGTGTCGTGCATTAGCATTT